GGGGGGGGAGTGGGGGGTAGGGACGGGACGACGACGACGGGGACCGGGGACGGACATCAGGTAGACTATCCTATGCTACGGGGACCGGGGACGGACATCAGGTAGACTATCCTATGCTCTGGGCCTTTTGGTTACAGGTCAGAGAAAAGCTCAAATCCTCAGGGTTCCAGAGACTGTCCCTTGAGCAATTTTCAAACACTGAGGCCCCCTAATCCTGACCTGGCACTAATTTTCACAACGCAGGGCGGGGGCAAGGTGGCTCAGAGCCGACCAGCTCTGAGTGGGAGCGTTACGCCCCGCCTGGCAAAGAATGAGCCAAGCAGACGGTAGGGCCCAGCCACAAGCGCACTTCCAGGGCAGACTCTAGCTCGGTAGGGACAGCACAGCAGGTCCTGCGCACGCGCGCCGCCTGAGTCGAGCCGCTTTGTTCTATCGCTACCTGCGGATCCATTCACCTCTTCTGCACCTCCCACCTGCGAGCCGATACACGGCACTAACGGAGACCCCGCCCTCTTCCCGCGCTAGGTGGAGCCAGTGGCCGGCCCCGCCTCCATTTCCCCTCCTGAAACCACCCTTTTCAGCAGCGATTGGCTATCTGCGCGGCACACGCCCGCCTACCGCGAAAGTTGATTGGTACATTGAGGTAGGATACGGAAAGTAGATTAAAAAGCAGCGCCCAGCTCCCACCCGCCGGGGTGGAAAAGTCACGTGGCGCTTCACTCGGCGCCTGTCACCACCCCGCTTGTAAAGCTTTCTTAAAGGGCTCGCGCTCCCTTCCTAGAGCTGGTCCTTTCCAGGATTTCTCCACCCCTGTCTGGGGAGGGTGGCGGCGGCTCTAAGCCGTCTTCTCCAGCAAGTCACTTAGGTGCCGATTCCTCATCAAGCCTGCTGGCGTCAGACCTTCCCTTTCGGATCTCGAGCCTGTGACCGTCAGGAGAAAGATGGGGTTGCCTGAAACGGCGACTGCCCAGACAATACCTGGCACGTAGTAGGCGTTTAGTTTCTATTTATTGAATGAACTGGATGAAAGAATGAATGAATGGGGATGACAGACCGGAGGCGGGGAGGTTGGCCTCGCGTGACTGCGCCCCAACCCCGCCCCATCTCCGAGGAAACTCTGCTTCCGTGAATGTGGGGCGGGGGTACCAGGCGTAGGACGCCCCCAAGACAGCTCTTTCCGCAAGGCGCAGAAGACCTGGGAGCACAGAGAGATCGGCGAGGGCGTTTTGAACCGGCCTCCTAGCCAGTTCCGAGCTCCGCGAGAGCGCTGCGACGCAGAGGCGAGGGGAAGACGGGAGTGCGGGTCTCCCCGCGCACGGGACCGCGAGCGCGCCCGCGCACCCCGTGGGGAGGGGCGGCCGAGGCGCGGCTCCTTTAAGCCGGGGGGCCGGCCCTGCGGCCCCGCCCCCCGGAGGACGCCTCGGCGCGCGGCCGCCGAAGCCGCTGGTTTATTGGGACCGTCCGGCGGCC